ACATGAGGAAGGGACTCATTCCTTAAATAGGACCAGGTTTCTGTTAAAAACTCATTGCTATCAAATTGGGAGGCATTGCTGGCTTTCCAGTGACTTTCTGAGGTTGTAAATCCCACAAGAGAAGGCTGCCCCTCTTGCCCTCAACTGGTAGGTAGATTTGAACCAGCTGCTGGTGGACTTGAACTACCAGAGCTTCTACATTAGCAACTGAAGAAAGGGTGATGGAAAACTACAGAAATGGATAATGGTGATTGTTGTACACGTGATGAAAATGTTATCACTAAATTTTGTGTGTTGCTGTTGTTAGGTGCCATCAACTCAGTTCCAACTCATGGTGACCCCATGCAAACCCCATAAAATACTACCTAATCCTCACCATCCTCACCATCTCTGCTGGGCTTAAGCTCAATGTTACAATCACTATATGTCAATCCACCTCATTGAGATTTGTCTTCTTTTTCGCTCTACTTTTTCAAGAATGATGTCCTTCTCTACAGACTGGCCCCTCCTAACAACATGTCCAAAGTATGTGAGATGATGTCTACTCATTCTTGCTTCTAAGGAATACTAGGGCCGTACTTCTTCCAACACAGACTTGTTTGTTCTTTCGGCAGTCTGTGGTATATGCAGTATACCCTGCCCACACAATTCAAAGGCATGAATTCTTATTCAATCTTCGTTATTCATTCAACTTTCACATGTACATGAATCAACTGAAAACACACACACACACACACACACACACACGTATGTAAACAGATATATGTATGTATGTATGTGAATTAGTCACAATTAAAAACTCAGGAAATAGAAATCCTAAATAGACCTATAGCTACTAAAACCCAAATCCACTGCCAGTGAGTATATTCTGACTCACAGGTGTTTGGTGGCATAGTTTGTAGAAAGTTGTGCTGTTAATCCAAAGGCTGCATATCTCTGGTGGTTTGAATCCACTAGCAGCTCCACAAGATAAGCAGTCCCCATCCGCTACAATCTACAGCCTCAGAAGGCTGATGGAGAGCCACAATAGGTTTGAACTGACCAGACAGCAGTGAGTGATCCTACATCAGAGTAGAACTGCCCTACAAGGTTTCTTTAAGGACTCATACTGCCACATCTTTTTGCCAGGAAGCTGTTGGTGATTCAAGCCACCCTGTTGGTTAGCAGTAAAGCACTGTAAATAACTAGGGCTCCTGCTTTCCAATTATACCTCAAATAAAACTCAATTCCTTTAACACAGCTTCTAATAACCTCCAAAATTAGGACTAGTTTCCCATCACTCTCCCACTCAGCTGTATGAAATTCAAGCTATGTAAGTCACATTCCTATTTACCAAATATATTAAATGAAGTCCTAACTTAAATCATTTTTAATTTTCCTTTTTGTCTGAACCACTAGTTCCCCACATTTCTGAATACCTAAGTTTTTTATCAATATTCAGATTATTTTAAATATTCAGATTTTAGTTCAAATGTCACTTCCTTCGACCTTCGGAGCTGTGTAAAACAAATCATCCTACTAGTTACTACACCTTCAAATCAGTGTTTTTCTCTCCTCCTCACCAGTACCAACAGAACGGCAATGGGTTCTGATTTTATTCTCCCTCTACAGTCAACTGCAAGAAAGAACACTGTACCTCTCCCTTCACACTTTCTATCTCCAGGCTCTGAAAGGAACACTAAAAAGCAAAGTGAAGAAAGAAAAAGAGAAATCAGGGTAAGAGTAGGAGGAGACTTAATGGCCATCTCAGGAGAGGAAAAAGGAGCCAGTTCTAGAAACTTCCCACACAGAACGGCGCAGCTCTGCTTATGCAATGTATACTCACAGTTAAAGGACTGGATAAAGACAATAGAAATAAAAGATTTGGGAGCAGTCTCAAAGCAGGACGCTGCTCCTGTCGTCCACCTCTTATTCATAGATCAGTCATGGGCACAAGGCTTGTAGTCAACCAATTCCTCTGACTTAAACCACAGACTGATTTCTTTCTCAGCACTTTTTAGTGAATCACTGCCATGGATGATGTTCCTGCCAGCTTGAATACAGAAGTCCCCATGAATAGTGACTGGTTTAGAATCTGCTGGCTGGCCTCTCCAAGCATCATTCGCCTGGTCTTCACCACATTCAGCCCCTCCCAGAGCATGGCCACAACTGGTCCCGAGTTCATGTACTTCACCAATGCCGGGAAGAATGGGCAGTCTTTCAGGTCAATGTAGTGCTGCTTCAGATGCTCCTCGGAGGCCTGAAGGAGCTTCATGGCCACAAGGTGGAATCCTTTCTGCTCAAAGCTCTTAATGATCTCTCCCACCAGGCCACGCTGCATGCCATCCAGCTTGATGGCAATGAAGGTGCGCTCACTGTAGGCCATGGTGCTGGACGCCAGAGGAAGAGCAGGTGTGGGGCACACAGAGAGCAGGAGAAGAGGCCAACTGCAACCACTGGTCCGGAGTTGTGCTCCTAAGGTATGTATCTTGATTGGAATTTTTCAAAATTATTTCCATTTTCTAGCTTAAGCTCCTCTTTCTACTAATGACATGGTTCACCCATGAAGAATATAGTTTCCACTTAGAAAAAATATTGTAAAATGCAAATAAAGTTTGCCACTTCACCATTTAAAGTATACCACTGCCATCAATGCTAATATATTTAAAACTTTATCATTCCCAACAGAAACTACATATAGGTTTAGCAATAATTCATTTTTCCCAGATGTTAACCACTAATGTACTTTTGTTTCTATGTATCTGCCTACTCTAGATCCTTCATATGAACCACAAAGTATCTGTTCTTTCTTATCTGACTTTTTCATTCAGCATGTTTTCAAGGTTTATTCATATTGCAACATGTATCAGTTCTTTTTTTTTTTTATTATTTTTGTGTGAGTGTACCGTCAAATCAGATCTGACTGGTACAGGAGGAAATTGTCCCTCCTTCCCCGGCAGAGCATCTGGTGGATTCGAACCGTGCGCCTCTGGGATTGTTGTTTCAGGTCCTTGCCACTAGGCCACCAGAGCTCCCCCCAGATCTTTCTTTTTATGACTAAATGAGATGCCTACATTTACCCATTTATCTGTTGACACTTGGATTGTTTCTACCTTCTGCCTACTATGTAAAATGTTCTGGTGAACTAGTATGTAAGTGTTTGTCTGAGTTCCTTTTCTTGGTTCTTTGGGCTTATGCCCAGGAGCAGAAATGCTGAGTCAAATGATAATTGTGGAGTACTGATGGTTCACAGGTAAATTCTCTCACCTTCCATGCAAGAGACCTCAAGCAAGCCACTGTCCATCTGTCTGTCAGTGGAGGCATGCATATTGCGGAACAGGTTTCAGCAGAGTTTCAAGATTAAGACACTAGGAAGAAAAGCCTGGTGACTGACTTCTAAAAAGGAGCCAATGAAAATTCTGTAATTTTCAGACAGAATGGTTTGAGCCAGTTGTGCCAGGAGCTCATGACTCAGGAGTTGACCTAGTGGCAGTAAATAGTAGCAACAAAGATAATATAGCTAATTCTGGAGCCATTTTCACTTTTCTTGTTACAATATTTCAATTTTTTGTGTCATTGATTATGTTCAAGTTATGCAACCATTCTCTCCTTTTCTAAGCTAGACCTCTTCCATCAGCATACTTTCACTGCCCTCTAAGAGTTCTATCCAATATTTTAAGTTTCAAATAGATTTCCCATAAATGAGGGGAGGGATCCTACCACAGGAAGCACTCCAGGATGTTAGGTGGCCTCACCTAAAGTGAACCCCTTACTATGGCAAACATAAGGTGCACAAACAAAATATACTGATACTATTACTTTGTAGCATATTATTTAGAACTATGCTGAAACATCTGAAAGATAAAGCTCTCAGTCAGATAGTTATCATATAAAAACTACTACAATTGAGAAAGACACTGGGAATTTCCTAGTACAAATTCTTTACTATTCCGCCTCCACCCTATTCATACAAACGCCAAATAACTCCTTGAGATCCAGCTCCCTTTACATGTGGCTTTTAGAAAGTACAGAAGGCAAGGAGGTGGAGAGGATACATTTTCCCTAACAAGAGCATATCATGTCTAAAAGGAAATCCATAGCTCCTCCTCAAGCACTGCTGAGTCTTGACTTCTAATAGAATCACTGTTCTAATCTTTTCATTTTATTGAAAATAGACTAAAAGGTACTGACTTGAACAATGTTAACATGGTAGATCCTGAATTAAAACATTTTCTGATTTTTTACTACTCAACCACATCTTCTTTAATTGAGTAACAAGAGGACTCTAAGTTTTCTAATGTTTTTTGAAACAGCTAAATAATAACATTCTTAAAAATATTCAAATGCACAATGCCTACAAAGCAATTCCCAAACTACTACTAAAAGAAAATTAAACCTTTGTTATTGGCAATACAAAGTATACATGATAGATACAAGCAGTATGACAGGATTTTTAGGTCAAGTTTGGAGGGTAAGGTTGCTTACAATAAAATTCTAATTTGTTAATTTATCAAGTATAGAATACTAATAAAGACAATCCTCTAAAATTTGAATTACTCAAAGCACTTGACATACCAACTCCATGTAATTTTAAGTTACAAATACGCCTTTTGGGAGATGAGAAAAAATAAAGCAAGTTCTTAGCAAGAAAAGTACAAAAATAAGTCAGAAAACAAGCTTCTCATTTAAGCACACCAAGGGTAATGGGCTGTGTGTATGTTTGTGTATCATGCTGAAATAAAGATTACCTGTAACTCCAGAACATTTCAATTCTAAAGAGCTTTAATAAATAAAAGCCCACTGTTTCAAAGAGACTACCAAGAAGGAGTCCCACTGTGCTGGTGGAAATTTACACAAAGAGGAAGGGGAACCAAGGTTCATAACCATTATTTTAAAGCTGAAACACTGCTTCTTCAACCATTCAGAAAGTCACTTAATGATACAGATAGATAGGAGAAAAATGGAAGTCCATACTTGCCTTTTATATACAACACTGGGCAAGTAAATGCCAATTGCACTATTTAGGAATGACTTGCTAAAACATTGAAAAAATGAAAGACTTCATCCTTGTCATAGACTGCCACTTCTGTGGAACATTCAGTGCACATGACTGGGTGGTAAATTTCTTCTCCTTCTGTCTCTGCCTGTTTTGCAGCATCTCCGTGAGTAGATCGCATCTTCTTATGGCCCCATCTTTTTTTCTTGTTGTCTGGGATTTTGTACCTTAGAATCTCTTCTTTATTGACAGAACAATTCATCACAAACATTGCTCTATATTGAGTTTTATATGATTCATGCCTAAGAGGAAAATGAAATGGAGAAACGGGATTGTATTTCCTATATCATGATTTATCCAATTAGCTAAAACTTATGAAACCAAAAATTTACTGAAACATTAACCAAAATAGAGCTGTGGGGGGGGAAATCAGCAAATTTCAGAATTGAAATTATGAGAAGAACCTTTTAATAGTATAACTGTATAAAGAATGAATGCACTTCTGCTTTGAATGTAACTTGTCTGAGATAAAAATTTTATTTGTTCTTAAAACTCAGAAAAGTTGTAGGAAATTTGGTAATTCATGTTTATAAATAATCTTCCTTTATTTTATTTCTATTATAGTCTCAGGTTCAATCCTCCTCCCTCCTCCTCCCTTATATAGGTGATATTAAGTCTGGTCTCCATTATAATAGAAGCTATAGGTTTTAAAGCTTAAAGAGCTCTGGCCTTAAAATGCCCACTCTTGGCTTTTGTCCACCAATGCAATAAATAGATAATGCGTCTTGTTCTCCTCCTTCTTCTACTCTCCCCACTTAGAAAGCTGCTCTTCTTTATCCCCCAAAAGCATCATGTAATAGAAATACCTATTTAGCTTTAAAAGACTAATTGTGTACTAATTAATTCCACCCTTTTTCTCCAGGTAAGCAAATCAATGTTCCAAAAATATAGTCAATCATAAACAGTTCTAATTTCCTATGTATTATGTGTACACATGGTTTTATTTCATATCTATAAGAAGCTCTTACCTTATATTCATATGTGGGGTTTTCCCCTCCTTTGTATTCTTATATTTACAACAGGGGGGTGGAAATCATTTTTCTGAACGATTAATTTAAAACTCAACTTTCCAGGATTTTGTTATTTTTTTCATTTAAAAGCCTTAAATCCTTATTTTCCTTTAAAAAATTTTCACTTTTACTCAACTTTACTGGAACCCTACATGACTAAAGTATATGATTTTAATTCATTTCCACTGTTAGAACATCTTGTGATATGCTTTAGTTTAGAAGATAATACACTGTTATCTTTACTCCATAAATATATATATTGTCAACTTATATATGTATAAATATAGAGAATACCAAAATCACACAGAGATTATAAAAATTAGTTACGAAAGATAATCAGAAATCTCAAGCTCCTTGTTATTGTTGTTGGATAGTGTTTTCAGAGGCAGTAAACTGCTTGGGAGACCACCACCTATCCTCTTCCCATGGAGGAGCTGGTGGATTCATACAAGTGTCTTTTGGATTCCAGCACTCCTTCTTACCACTCAGCCACCAGAGTTCCAAAACTTTAAGCTACCTAGTAAGAATAAAACAGAACTAATACTGGTTCATCAGTTATAACAAATTCACCCCAGCATTGTAAGATGTTAATATGAGAAGCAAGGTGTAGGAAGTACAATTCAATAGAACACTCCACGTATGTTCCGCAATTTTCACTAAACCTTAAACTACTCTGGAAAATACATTAAAAAAAAAAAAAACTCAACCAAACCCATCCCTCTAATATCACTTCATTTCAGTTAACTTGATTCAGAACAAAAACTAATTTAGTCATTTTTAAGACTAATAAGAATAGAAGTATAAGGGCAAAAATGTATTTCGAAGATTATGTCATTCCAAAAACTGTATATGCAATTTCACTGAAGCCCTGTGCACTGACAAGTGCTTATTAGGTAACCTACTAACAAAATACAATCTCCAACATAAAATAAAAAATATGTTAAAAAAAATTTCTACAATCAAAATTATTTGTATAAAGATTAGTCAAGGAGCACTAAATATATGAGTGCAGAAACTTAACAAGATTCCTGACTGCCTCAAAAGTCTGTCTTTGATTTAAACAAACTACCAAGTTGTGTTGTTTTTATTTTGTTACCTTTCATATATTACCTTTGGCAGTCAAGGCACAATGTGGTCATGCAGGCTGGGCAATTCAAAACAGCATCACTATTAGGTACAGGCTGCTGCTGATGTGGCCGTTGTAGTCCAAATCCATGATAGCTAGAACAGAAAAACAGAGTAAAACACACATTAAAACCATTCTCCAGTAAAAGAAAAACATCTTAGAAAAACATCTGATTCTAGGATAGGGGGAAAAAAATAAACCAAATGACACCCCAGAAGGCCTTGTAGTGCCAGAAAGTTAGGATGGTTGTTGTTAGGTGCCGCTGAGTCGAGTACAACTCATCGCGACTCTATGAATAAAAGATCTGAACCCTGCTCTATCCGGCACGACCTTCACACTTCCTGACACACAAGAGCCCATTGCGGCAGTCACCCTATCAGTTCACCTGGTTGAGGGTATTCCTCTCCTTTGCAGACCCTCCATCTTTCCCAGCATCACATCCCTCTCCAAGGAATAGCAAAAATGAACTATATTTATAGTGTTACACCAAAGAGGCACAAGCACCAAGCAAAAAAGTAAAAGGTGGAATAAATGGACCAACAAAATGAAGTTACTGGATTATAATCCAAAGTATAAAATAAATATCCTTGAGTCCATGGTGATTACTGATAAATAAATGAGGAAGAATAAATTTTCCATATGGAAGAATTTCCAAGTGCTTTATGATGCTCTGCCCTCAAGGCAGTGAAGTGGAGAAAAACTCCCTACTTCCTAAGTATGGCTGCACAGTGACTTCCAGAGACCAGTAACAAATGAACAGCTGGACTGTATGCTCCCTGACAATCTCAGAATCACTTAGAGCACTTAAAAAGTGAAAATGTTCATTTCACACAGTAGATTACTTAAAAAAAAAGTTAAATAAATATGTGCACTAGAGGAAGCAGTACACAAGATAATCAAGCAAAAGGGAAAAAGGACAAAGTGGAGTCTAAGAGCTGGTGTACAAAGACCTCACGCACACAACACAAAATCCGTCCAGACCTAGTAAAAAAAAAAAAGTAGACCCTTACAACGTATCTGAACAGAATTAAAAAACTTCAAGGGTTTGTGTTTCAAATAATCTCCCCAGATGATTCTGAGGTGAGCCAGGTTATGGAAGCTCTAGATGATGGTGACAGGTTATGTAGCTATTAGCTTTATGAAAAATGAGCCTTTAAATCAAAATCAAATTTCTAACTAGCTAAAAAAGAACAATTCCGCAAACAACAAACGCTGGTGAGGTTGTGGAGAAACTGGAACCCTTATTCACTGTTGGTGGGAGTGTAAAATGGTACAACCACTATGGAAGGCAGTATGGTGCTTTCTCAAAAAGTTGCAAATAGAATTATCATTTGATGCAGCAATTCCACTACTGGGAATATACCCCAAAGAGACCATAACTGCCATCCAAGCAGATATATGCACACCCATGTTTATTGTGGCTTTGTTCACAACAGCAAAGCCCTGGAAACAACCCAAGTGTCCATCACCAAATGAATAGATAGAGAAGCTGTGGTATATTCATACAATGGAATACTACGCTGCATTGAAAAACAAGGAACTCATGAAATACTATTCAACATGGGTGACCCTGGAGGACATTATGCTGAGTGAAGTATCTCTGTCACAAAAGGACAAATACTGCATAGTGCCCTTGTTGTAAAACGGGACTGACATTGGGGTTAGGGGGAGAATAAGAAAGATGGGATAAATAATGTATACTGCATTGAAACAGATAAGGGAGAAAACTGTTTAAAAGGGATATGTGATTAGTTATTATTGTCATGACGGGAGTCCAGAACGAAGGCTGCCTAGTGGAGTGGTCTTGGGGTGAGGGATGGAAAACAAGGAAAGACTTTTTCTTTTCCTTTTCAAAGAGAAGGGTGTATTGGGGAAAGGGGTGGACAGGGAGAAAAGTGCAACAAAGAATGCATGGAAATCCAAAGCCTCTGTAAAATTTTCATTAAAATTAATAATAAAAAGGAAAAAAATCAAAAGACTAAAGAAAAAAAGAGTAATTCCAAGTTTTAAACATAGCATTCACTCCTCATCTACATAAACTTTTGATCTCAAAGCAATTAAAAATTGTGTGTATCTGAAAAAGAGCAGTCATTCAAAGAGAATAAGGAGATATTGTGTGATTTAAAGTTAAGTGCACAGACTTAAAACAAGTTTTTAAAAATCAATTATCTCGACTGAAGCTTATTACTTTCAAAAATACTCAGCAGTTTTTTCTTGCTTCTTTGCTCATATGTACATCTAAACATGCATACACACAGCATATACATCCAAAATATGAATGTGATAAGAATCATCTTTCACTTATTTTTTTCTACGGATTCTGAATAGTAAACTTTAAGTTCTTACCCCCTTCTCTGTGCATCAACCCAAGCCTGATCCTTGTTATCCTTTTCAGGATCGTAAAGTAATTCATCATTTGTTGGAATCCGGTGTCGCTTCTTTTTTTTCTTGGTCACCTGTGCTAATTTTGAAGCATACAGATATTACTAAGTATTATAAAGTTTGTTGTTGCTGTGTGCCTCTGAGTTGATTCTGACTCAAGAGTGACCCTATAGTACAGAGGGGTTCCACAGAGGCTAACCCCCTATGGCCTCCTTAGTCTTTACCGAAGCAGAATGCTCCTTCTTTTCCCCATGGAGTGACTGGCGGGTTTAAACCACCAACTTTTCAGATAGCAGCCAAGTGCTTAACCATTACACCATAAGCATCATTCAAAGTAACCACTAATGGACACTATGCTTTTTTTTTTCCAAAAGGTACTATTCTTGATGCCTATGTTCATTAGTTCCTTACATAAAATATCACTTCTATCAAAACAAAGACATTTCAAAATAATCCTTAACAGATCAATGTTTTGGTAACATAAGATATAGAATTGTTACTTTATCATATATAAAACTGCTACTTTACGATATATCTGTACATTCCCATTTAATTACTAAACTAATAAAATTAGTTTTCTCTTTTTTCATTATGCTCAATATTGTTCAAATTTTACACAAAATCAATTACAAAGAAGAGAGAAACTGATGTAAATGCAACAAGTTAGAATAATTCTCCAGAAAAATAAAATATGCAAGTCTTTGCATATCTGAAAACAAATGCTGCTCTAAAGAACACGAAGTGGGGGGAGTACTGAGTGAGGCGACACCTGCCTTCATTCCAACTGTGTCCAGGTAACACCACTCTTGAGGCTCAAGTGATCACATAGTGCATCTCCTTGAGCATCAAGTTATCACTTGAACATATACTTCATCTCCACTATGCTAATACGTTATATAGTAACATTCTGTAATCTTTTAAAAAAATAAAATACTAATTTCAAATAAGTGTTAGTTAAATCTGTCCCATAAAATATAACTGCTAAACCTTGTTATTCACCTGCTTTGTCTTCATCCTCAGAATCAGAATCAAAATAGATATCATCATAGTATTTTGTCAGAGCTGCTCCAGTTTTCCCATTTCCTGAGGAAGATCCTAGTGAAATCAAAAGGGAAATACATAGATTAACCACACATAATTCAGAAGACAAAAATGTATATGCTTTCATCCCCTCAAAATAGTATCAACTTCATTCCCAATCACATATGAGTGGAAAAATAATTACACATCCTCAACTTATAGAATTTTTTGTGCAATGTGCAACTATAGTTGCAGTAATATATCAACAGGAAATAACACAAATTCAATCTGAATTCAGAAGAGGAAACTGAACAAAAGATATTATTGTGGATGTGAAATGGATCTTGGCTAAAAGGAAATAATATGAGAAAGATGTTTGCTTGTTATGTTGACTCTATCAAAAACATCCAACTATGCATACATAACAAGATGTGGGTAATTCTCACTCTTAAAGACTGAGAATTCCACAATACTTAATTGTGTTTATGCTGAATCTGTACACAGACTGAAAAGCAAATTAACCAACCAGAACAAGGACTATCTAGTTTAAAACTAATAAAGACGTGTGTCAGAGTTGTATACTTTCACCATTTCCCTATACTTATTCAATCTGTACAGTGAGCAACTAGTCAGAGAAGCTAGACTATATCCAGACTGAAGGAAGAGAAGCTAGACTAGATCCAGACTGAAGGAAGACTTATTAACAACCTGTGACACGCAGACGATAGTATTTTGCTTGTGAAGAAAACCTGAAGCACTTTCTGATGAAGATTATAAAGACAATTTTAAAAATAGATTACAACTCAAC